ATTATTTCTCTGATCTAACAATAGGGTTTAGGGGGTAGGAATTAAAAAGATCAAAAAGAATTTGATACTCTAAATGATCAAATACTGATATTTTCAAAGTATTTGCTTGTAAAAATAGCAACAGAATCCATCACGCATGCTAATTGGAATATATTTTTCTTCACTTTTATTGTGTAATTAATTTTTTTCTATATTGTCATTTTTAGAGCTTTCTATTTAAAAATTATATAGAGGGACACTATTATCTGATAATAGCTCTAATCACAATGAACTTCCCAGAAGAGTTGAACTATGACCACACATGGGTTTTAAAACTTTTGGTTTAATTAACCAGGGTTAGTACTAAATTGGATGTAGTTGAAGGCTGCATCCTAGTTTTTCCTGAAATGGAAGGGAATGGTGTTGATGATAATGACTATAAATACAATTGTGAAAGGAAGACACATTTAAGTCAACCAGATGCGCCCAGTCTCCCAATCATGCCCCCCACTTGTGCAAAATATCAAACAGAGTAGTAACACTTGAGCATGATGCTCAAATAAAGGAATAACCCCAATGGTCTATTTAGCATAGTGGAATTCAAGCCTCTAGAATTGGAAAGACAAGAATCAGAACAAACGGGATAAATGTAACCACAGATGTATAGCTCATATATAGATCTTGCATATCAGCTATTAGAGGGGTTTGTGGAATCATGAGCAACCTTGCTACAATAAGCTTCTTGTCTCAGAGGGGGCTTCTACATCAACAACAGAGAAGGCACTGCAAATATGTTTAACTTTTAAAACCTCTAACTACTCAGCCAATAGTAACTGACTCTGGGAGTTATAGTGCAAAACATCTAGAGCAGCCATGGGCAAACTTCAGCCCATCAGGTGTTTTGGACTTCAACTCCCACAATTCCTAACAGCCGGTAAGATAGCTGGGACTTCTGAGAGTAGAAGTCGAAAACAACTGGACCGCTGAAGTTTTTCATGCCTGATCTACAGTGTCAAAGCTTCCTATGCTGATAACTCTTTCTGCCCTGATAACTCTTTCTGCCCCACAGACCCATGACTGAGAAGTGGAGATTCCAGCAGTCTTAACATCTTGGATGAACAATCTTGAGGACAAGGGATTGGTAGTAGTACACTTTAATTAAGTTTTGTACTTTGCTCAATTTATTTAACAGATAATGTGTACATTAAAGAGATACTACATAAAATAACGACAGAGAAAATGTTCATAAAGAGGAGTCAATAAAGGAAAGTATCCTGTATTTACAGTTCAATTCAAATTTTCTCTGGAAGACTTCCTCATTATCTTGTGAGTGGGCTGGCATGAAGAATTAACCTACGTATGATCTGTGTTGTCATGACATTTAAAAAATAGAAGACATTTATTATACTATGTCTAAAAACAAAAATGATTCATTTCTATTTTAGCTAATATATACATTCTTACATCCTGCTGAAAAACAGCACGAATGCTATACAGCCATGTTTTGCAACACTGACATGCCTTTTTTCACTGTGGCCTATAGTTTTCACTTCCAGCGTCATTAAGAGATTCTTCAAATTACTTTTAAATATCCATTTCCCCAAGGACTTTCACTTGCATCTAATTAGACTACTTACCCCATGCCATGTAATTCCCTGTTGCCAAAACTGTTAAATGCTTCAATAAGTAAGTGAGAAGGGCATCCATGGAGCAAGACAGATGCAATGCCACTGGTTAATAATAGTGGTGTGAATTGACTCCCTTAATTATAAAGCTCATTAGCACATAGTATTGGAGGAGGGAACTTGGCAAATGTTAAAATGTTTAATCCCTTCAGCATAGCTCAAAACTGGAGTAAAAATGTCCAATTTGCAACTTTAATAAGAAAACGTTAGATACTATTTAAGTAATATTTAAGAAAATTGGGATAAAAGAAATGCAAAATTATATGGTTGAAATATGACGTGTTGATGCAAGTAGACTTCATACAATACTTCTTTGCTAATATTTACAATAATTTGAATGTCTCATATTTTTTCTTGCTCATTTGAATATAGTAAATTGATATTTCACAAGAAAAATAAGCTCCTGGAGCAGGTTTGATATACAAAATATTACAAACCTAAGATACCAATAAGCTTTAGTTTCAATACAAAATTGTGTGGATGTTCACTGGGATTAAAGACTGCACCCAAACAGATTATTTGAAAACTGTATTTAGATCAGATTTTTAAAAAGTTTAGATTTCAGGGGATGATTACATTGGAAGTTGTTGTGCAAAACTAACAATTTCAATCAGTGATTTGGGTGGAATGTTAAAGTCACTTATTCAGAGGGTAGAAAACACCTGATTGATCCATCTTCCAGAAAAAAGATTTTCTTCTTAATGGAAAGGATGAAGTAGTTACATGATTTTTAAAAATAGTAACTGAAGCAGTTCTCGATTGATAAAAGCATTGCTGTGATTATTACGCAGATTTCAATTAGGACAAAAAGAGAAGTTTGAATCTAGATCATACAGATCATGGGTCTTATAAAAATGCTCTTTAGAAGTTGGGGTCTCTGAATGGAATAGGAGTTAGTCTGACAGCTGTGGAGAATTAGCAGAAGGAGTTTTCCTTCCATTGCCCGCAAAAGATTACCAACTGGATCTAGATGCAAGGAGCCCCATGACCCACAGAAGAATAAGATCTGGGTCAAAACCAGAATACTTTAAACATATATTTTAATTTTGTATAGCTTTTACTAATACATTTTGTGTAGGCCTGTTGTCTAGAATTATGGCACATGAGAAAAGAACACTTTTATTGAAAATCAGAAGGATTTAGAGCACTACTTCTTAAACTGTGAGTCCAGACTCCAAATGGGGCCCCCTTAGCTCAATGTTGGGGTCCTGTATTCCTGTAACTAAATTCCTCACAATCTCTGAGGATGCCTGCCATAGATGCAGGCAAAACATCAGGAGAGAATGCTTCTAGAACATGGCCATATAGCACAAAAACCTACAACAACCCACTAAATTCCTGAATTTAGCTACAATTTCTGAATGTACTCCACACATATTTTGTTAACATAAGATATGAAAGTTATTGGTCAATACTACTGCAGTTTACTGTAGATTGTAATATACTATTAATACATCATGTATATCATGTATCAGGAGAAAGTTGGTTGTTTGGAAGCATGGGCAATTGCTGAATTTTAAGACACATAAGAAGAAACAAGCTCACATAGCTATAATCAATTGAAGGCTATTTAGTTCATAACTTTAATCCTTCTTTAAAGATAAGGTCCTCCATCTGTTCCTCAAAAACAAAGGCACACAATCTAGGTGCACAATAAGCAAAGAATAAGAATGTGTTGAGTAGTGAAAGAGATAATGCCTTTACACTACAGAAAAAAGGGAGAGGAAAGATAATACTGAGAAAGTGCTTTGGACACAGCAATTTTCTTATTGATGGCCTGGATCCTAAGAATCACACTAAGTGATCGTCCAAAGGAGCTTTATATTTTTGTCTCTGAACTGTCACGTGTCTTTTGAAACTGAAGAGGCTTTCACAAGCATTTTGTAATATGGAATAGGGATTCAATTGTTTAAAGAGAAAAAGTTAAACATTCCACTGGGTGTGCAAAAGGAGCTCTCTGGATCCTGGCCAATGTGTTTCAGTCTTTTTTAATGAAAGAAAATTACACTACTGTATAACACGTGTTCCATCTCTTCTAATAGTTGCCTGAGACTGCCAAACAATACATTAAGCTGGCATGAACAGTGATTAAAATTTAAAGCACAGAAAAACTTTCCAACATTACAACACAATATCTAACAATATTCAGTAGTGTGAACCTGGAAAAAAAAGATCGTTAAAGCCATTATGTCAAAAAAGCACTATTTGACTTTCAACATCTGTGCTGACTTCAAAAAAGTGTAGGATAGAGGATAAACATCAGTGCTCCTAAATACTTTCTTGTACTTCCCATGGACTGGATCTAATGGAGTATATGTGTAAATGGAATTGCTTCCCACAGTGGAAGGGGAGGTGATATTTTCTCTTTACCTGCTGGTAGAGCTCTGACAGACGGATCAGCTGTCGTAATTTAAGATACAAGTGAAGATCTATCTCTTCTGGAAGGCCTACCCAGACAGTTTTAATGGTGAATTTTAAACTCCGCTGTATGCCTTGTTTTTGTTTTGTGTATCTTGATACGTATTTTATGGAGGCATATTTTAATATGTGTATTTTACAGAGTGTTTTAAAATGATTATATGTTTGCTTATGTTTTAGTAATGCTGTATCCCACCTCGAGCCATGAGGACAGATGGCCAAGAAAGAAAACTATTATTACATTATTATTATTATTATTATTACATTATTATTATTTTACTGACACAAAAGCACAGTATGTCACAGCAAATGAGATCTATATGCTGGATTTCGTATCACAAAAGCACAAGTCAAACACTTCCCAATCATCATCATCATCATCGTCATTTCAGCACACTGGTTATTCACAAAGCTTCCCTAGAGAGCTGGCAGACCCTTTGGAAATGCATTTTCAAGTTTAATTGCTGGCTGGAAGCAGTTCACCACACTATCGCTGCTGCACCAATGTGAGATAACAATGGAAAGTCTGTGTATTGTCGAAGGCTTTCATAGCCGGAATCTCTGGGTTGTTGTAGGTTTTTTTGGGCTATATGGCCATGGTCTAGAGGCATTATCTCCTGATGTTTCGCCTGCATCTATGGCAAGCATCCTCAGAGGTAGTGAGGTCTGTTGGAACTATTTTGTGCCTTAGCTGTTTAGTTCATGAAAAAAAATGAGACATTGAAAGATGAGACTGTTCCATCATGTGCAGTGTTTCTGGAATTTTCAATAGCTAACCAGTGATTATATTACCTGTCAAGATTCTAAAAGGGGTTAACTAATACCTACATTTTACAATGTATGTAAATAAAAATATTACAAAGCAGGATGTCACTATAATTAAGAAAGATTAATTCTCATAAGGCAAAAGTGACTTACTGCCAGAATTGAGAGCAGTTCTTCCACACTACAATCCTGTTTTAAACGATCCTTGAACATCCTGATAGTTGGATGCTTCAAATAGTAATATGAAGCGATGCGGCCATGAGTCAGCGGTTCAATGCTGCGGTCATCCTACCCATGGAGAAATATATATGAATATATTATAAGAACACAATGCATGCTGAAAAGCACTCTCCTCAAGCAAAATACATTTCACACTGTATTGTAATGGAGGTATTACACTTCAAAACTGGATAATAACAAGATCAGAGTCATGAAGAAATTTAAACAGCATGTTACTGTTTTAAATACCAAAGCAATGGAAAAATTCCAGTAGCTTCAACAGGAGGTCCCACAGTAGCCTATGTATATTTCATAATACAGCAAACATCAGGATAAAGGGTAATCCCTAATAAAGATTGTGGCTAACCAGTTCTTCTTTTCAAATGCTGAATAAAGTATAGATTAGTCTTACCTCCCCTATTTTAATGCAGTAAGAGTATTCCAGATCAACAAGCGATTTCTCAACAAGGTTTGAAAGGAACTTGTTCACACTGTCATGGCTCACGTCATCTAGGTTATAATAACTAAGAAGAGAAAGATTTTAAGAGAAAATTTAAAAAGATATCATGCAGCACAGCACATCGTTACAAAGAAAAGGGCCACGCCCTTTGAGGTAAAAATCAATGAGCATGCCATATGCTATATTCTTTCTGATTGTGGTTTCTAATGCTTGCAAGAATATGACCAGATAAGAAAATATGACCTTAAATCTCCCACCACCTGACAGTTCAAGAAATAGTCAAGGCCAATCTCAATTCTATGCTATAATGTAATGCTGTTTTTTTTTTATTGTGCTTTAACAACTAAAGTACTGTACATAAATTTGTTACTTAACAGTTTTGCACTAATGTCAGATATGTCTGGATCACAGGAGTTATTATTTCTGATTATTGTCATTTATTTCCTTGTTTCTTAAAGTGCACACTCAACTACACGAAAAAGACCTCACTCTGTGGATAAAAATGTAAAAAATAAATAAATAAAAGTTTACAATGATTAGCCTGTCTGGTTTCCTGGTCAGAGAACAAAATTTATGTGCCTTCTTATTCTTGAACAGATATTGAAAATGTACAAGAAATCAGTAAAGGAATTGCACTGAAAGCTGGTCTAAATGTGTATTTATTTGAACCTTATTATATGCAACATTTGAAAGGATGTGTGAACACACCATTTAAACAGTTTGGTTTACACATCTCATACAGTAGTTTTAGTTTGGACGTGAATAAAGGATTGAGGAAATAAAATATCCCATAAATAGACTGTCCAATTCTACAGCTGCTATGCTAAAATCCTCATTTTTATATTTATACCATGTGTCAAAACCATTACTGTTTCATTTTGGAGTCCCCACCCCTTTTTATACTTTCTGCTCCTAATCCTTGCTCTCCTGTGAACAATGAGCTCATTAATTTTCTTAAGCAGTACAAAATTTGGATCACAATGTGACTTTATCCATTAAATGTTACAAATGCCAAAAGGGGGGCTTGATGAGACTGAGATGGAATCACAAAATAGTCTGACTCTGAGATCATGAAATAAAAACTTCCACTAAAACAACTGCAGTTAAAGGCATTTCAGGGGGTTAATGGTTTAAATTTAGCATACATTTTAAAAACAAACACAAGCCTACTGGTAATAAAAAAGAGAAGGCTGGGAGAACAGCCAAGAGTAGGGATACCACAAGATTTTTGCTCAGATGGATTATAGGAAGGATTTTACCTCTCCACTGAAATACACTTTTTGACATGCACCTTAGAATGGGAGCTTAAAAATGTGACACACTATGCGTTTTGAGTGGAAAATACAAAGCTGTTATTTAATACGCTCAACAGATAAATGAGGCTTCATGTGAGCAATAAATTAGCACGGCCATACTAAATGATAGAAGGATAAAATAAGTCTACAATACAATTCGGCTTGTATCCAGTTAATTATGCCCACAGTGTAGTGTACTACAGGTACAGACCACATTATTATTATTATTATTATTATTATTATTATTATTATTATTATTTTCTGTTTTATCTCTCCCAAAGGAGACTCAAAGCATCTTAATATAAAAGCATTAGCATACAATTTAAAATATACAAATATGCAAACATTAAAAGAGAATTAAATATAAACAGTATTAAAAATTCACAGTTGAAATCAATTAAAACATATTCAAAGTTAAAAACCACAACACACACTGACTTGATCTTAAGTTTAAGGAATTTTGTATAGATTTCTTTTTCATGATCTACTAATAGAAGTACATTTTGGAAACATATTTCTTGTAAATAAATTATATACAGAGTTTTAATAATGCTTTAATTTTTAAATGAGGATTTTGAGTTTTTGCTTCCAAGCACTTTCAAAATTACAGTGTTCAACTCCAATATGTTCCATTCAGTAAAGATTACAATATTGACTTCATATAATATAACATGGCAGAAAAAAAAGGAAAAAAGAGCCCTCCTTAACATTCACAAACAATAATGAGGAAAATCAAACTACTCTCAGCATCTTTGGGTAAGCCTAAATGTACGTATGAACAAGTACATTTCATGAACAAGTAAATTCCATTGAACAAAAGACGTGCACAGGTTTAAACTTTATATATAGGATTTCAAACTTACATATATGTAATTGTGACTGAAATAATTCTTGTGGGCTAGAATCCACTATATCTATCTATGTATCTATCTATGTATCTATCTATGTATCTATCTATGTATCTATCTATGTATCTATCTATGTATCTATCTATGTATCTATCTATCATCTATCTATCATCTATCTATCATCTATCTATCTATCTATCTATCTATCTATCTATCTATCTATCTATCTATCTATCTATCTCTGGATGTATAGGAGAGCTGTACCAATCTGACACTTTTTAGAAAAGACAGAACAGTAAATACATATAGATGCAGGTTTTAATGGTCATATTCAGGCTGCACAAACCTGATCTTTTAATATATGCAAACCAAATGATATATAAAGAAATGTTTTATGATCAAACTAAACAAAACTGCCCCCCCCCCCCGCCCAGCTTTTCTGTCTAACTGTATTATCTAACTATTTAACTGCAGATAAAGGATAAAAACAGTGCCGTTTCATGGCCACTGCATTGAATCATCTAGTCATTATTTCCCCTCTGCTGCAAACAGACAGCCCACCTTTTTGTCAGCACACCATTTCATTTATTTCACAGTGAAACCCAGTTTCACAATAATTGACTTGTCAGAAGCTCTAATTTATGAGGCTGGGCTCTGTAAGCCTTCTCCTATATTCAGCTCAACCTGCCCACAAGCAAGGTTGAATATTTACAATGCTGTTAACAGGTGCTGAGTTGTTTAATGATTCTAATAGCCAGAAGCGTACTGAGAAAGCCAGCGGGATCACAATTACAGGCTGTTTGAACACAACAATTACTCGTCCCCTGAGAGGTGTGAAAGTCAAAGGCAGTTTTATACTAACAGCATCTAGCACATGGGGTAGACAGGCTAACTTCTATTAGTAGCCCATTGGGAAAAAAGCAATAACAAATCCCTGGGTGCCATAAAAATTTACAAAGTACATCAGATATAAACAATCAGCACAAACTTTTTAAGGGTTTTAAGTAATTTATCACAAACACAAACAACTCGATTACATACTGTAGCACAGAAAATATCCAGAGCCACCTCACAAGAAACATGATCTTATTTTTGTAATCTAAACAAGTGTGGAATTTCACCAGCTGAGAGAGAAACGTGCAGAGACATAAAATGTAGATGAAGTTACACAGACCATTTTGAGTTTAATGTGGATTGTGGTGGCAATTGCTTCCTGTTTAGTTTATGTAAACCTGACCCAAGATCTCCCTGGGAAATTTTTCATCAGCCTTGAAATGGTGCTGCTATAACTGTCAGGCCTGTGAAGTCATTTGTTACAAACACCATGTTTTTTATGTTCAGATTATACGGTAGTAGTAATGGCACAGATAATGAAAACAGGGTCCAGGGTTGTATGAAAAAGACCATTACGCAAAACTTTTGCTTGCATTCAGAGTGCTTCTTGGGGCAAAAATCCTACAAGAGCACAGCTCAGGATTATTTTTGAGACACATTATTTTGGGGAGAAAACCCATTCCGAACACAGGAGAGGTATCAATAGTTAACTCTCTCAAAAAAGTTGCATTTTATCTACTGGGAGACATTCTGCAATTCTCTTTCCGACTTGAGGGGAAAATCTGTAACACCAAACCAAGGATATGAAGCTTAGATGAAATCCATAATTCTAAACATATTCCTGGTAGATGGAACACAGTAGAGATGATCCAGTCAACATCTCTTCTGGATCTAATCCAGTAGTTGTGGCTCAACATGATTCTGCAGGAAGAAACCAAGTCTTCCTCGGAGAATTGGCTCATTTGAAAGAGAAAGGAAACATTTATCACTGAGTTATACTGTGAATGATTCACATTATCATTTTCAACTGGTAAACAAAGTGAATCAAGTTTATGATTAAAATGGCCTGCCATCAACATTCAAAAGTACTGTACATTGATCTGAAATATCAACACAACTGTCTAATTAATTAATCTCAGATCATTTTGTTGCTTAAATTCAAACTGATTCCAAAGGGGATTTGCCTCCCCCCCAGTCAATAGTTCCCTAAATACCTATCAGTTTAATGTATCCTGATATTACTACAACTACCACCATCATCACCTCCATTAGAGAAATTTTTGATTACTTCCATTCCATGATGATGTCTCCATGGTTCTCAATGTTGAAAGTGGATAATGATTATTATAAATCCAAACAGACTAATTTAGAATTAAAGAAATAACACTGTGAAGAGGAGATACAGGCTGAAACCCAGATCAAAGTAGTAGTCCCTGGACCAATCATCTGCCAGTCTGGAAAGCTTCCAGGGAGAAAATATCTATTCAAAGGGCTACTAATCCCGGGCACATTAGAGCAGAGCTTGCCAAATATTTCATGTTGGTGACACACTTTTAAGACATGCATCATTCAACAAGGACTTGTTGAAATTCATTGAGAAAGAGAAGAAACCAAGAATTAGAATGTTAAATTTGACAGATGAGAAAAAGATAGGTAGGATTTGGACTACCAGATCTGAAAATTTATTATGAGGCCTGCTGCCTTATGGTGGTAAAAGATTGGACGAATTTAAGTAAAGAAAATATTTTTAACTTTAGAGGGATTTGATCTGCGAATTGGATGGCATGCTTACATTTGGTATGGGGAGACAAAAATGGGAAAAAATTGGAAATCATTTAATAAGATATGCTATTATAAAAGTATGGGACAAATATAGAAATAGTTTCTATATCAAAACCTCTATGGATTTTGCCATTAGATGAAAGTCAAAAAAGATTATTGGGCTGAGAAAATTGGCCCACTTATAAAGCAATATTAAAGAAAATTAATGGTTTTTATACCATGAAAATGCTAGAATAAATAAAATTATGTTATAAAAATATCTCCTGGTTTCAATACAGACAGATAAAAAAACACTGTGATAAAGA